ATAATAATTAAAATATTTAAATTTAGTTAACTAGCTCATAATATTTGTGAAATATTTACAAAAAAAAAATAAAAAAAAAATGTTTGGTAGAGATTAGAATTTTGCACAATCTCCAATAATTGCACAAACTTTATTTCCAAATATTTAAGGCCATCCGGAATTTAGGGATAAAGATTTTGACATTCTAAGGGTAGTAAGTGACTTTGACCACAATTTTGAATCAACAATTTTCTTTCTTGTCTTTGACCAATATTCTAAGACAAAAAAGAAAAATTTAATAAAATCACATTTTTATTTTTTTAATTATTGATATAGGACCCTCAATTTTAATCATTTTGCTAACTAGAACAAGAAAAGATTTCACGCACAACACACACTGCATGTTCCAACAAAACACGTACCCGGATTATGTGACCAAATTCCACTTTAACCCCAGGAAAAGAAAAAAAGTAATTACAGCGCCACGTCACCCGGTAACTGAGAAAGCCATGTCTGAACTGACACGTAAGCACTGTTCCGTTACAATCTGGTGGGCCGCCCCCCCTTGACGTGTCTATCTCCCAGCACCGTTTCGGCTGCCACGTAGGCGAGTTTGTACTGCACACTCCCAGTGTAGGTACTGTGCGCTTTAAGTAGTGTACGTGTCTCCAATTTAAGACGTGAGCCGCGGCGCAGGGGATCAGAAGCAATGATGGCGATGCTGAATGAATACGAGGTTTTTTTTTTTTTTTTTTTTAAATTAATTATTTTTTTTTCTGCTGGTGTTTTAAGGATTTACCAGAAACAGTAAAAAGTTAAAAAAATTGGGTATGGGTGGGGCCCACAATCAAAGATTGTGGTACTCTGCCCAATGCATCAAGGTACAACTATCAGATTTGCTCCCTATATTTGCTCTACATTACATCTCTATTTCACTATTTGTAAATTTGCTCGAAGATTCATATTTATATACGTCGGGTATAAATTTACTAGTTGTAGAGAATCGAGCTCAATTTAGCACAAATAAAACTTCAGAGTTCTTTCAATGGCAAGAAAAAACACACACACACTCTCTCTCTCTCACCGAATACAACTGCTCCTCGATAGATTTTACTCGAACTAGGGGTGAGCATAAAAATCGAGAAACCGAAAATCGAACCGAAAACCGAAAAAACCGAGCCGATATACACCGTCCCGACTTAAAACCGCATACACGGTAAATATTTTTTGGAAAACCGAAAAAATCGGTATGTGTATGGAGAAAAAAAAATTTGCCGAACCGATTTATCGAACCGAACCGGTTTGGGATTACAAAACGACGTCGTTTGATAGATAGTAAAAATCGGTAAGTTTTTTTGATAATCAATGTGGCCACATTCAGATACTTAATCTTTTGATGTATTTGGACTTCTTTGATGAGGCAACAGGTTTATTTTTTTGAAGATGACATTAATGACATCTGGGTTTATTAGTTTAATCTCATTATTTTTTTTTATGGAAGTAGGTTTTTTTTTTCTAATGGCAGTAAATTTGTTTTATTAGTTAATTTTGGATTGTTACTTGTTAATTTTCTCAAATAAATGTGATAGAAGTCCAAATTCACCGTTAATCAAACATCGATTTTATACCGAACCGATTCGAACCGATAATGAAACCGAAATCGAAAATAAACCGAATTGATACCGATACCGTTTACCGAAAACCGAAAAACCGATTAGTATCGAACCCAAAAAAAACCGACATACACGGTTTTAAAATATGAAAAACCGATATTATCGGTACGTGTTTGGTTTATTGCAAAAACCGAACCGTACCGACCCGTGCACCCCTAACTCGAACACATACATTAATTTAATCTTTCCAAAATTAAATTAAATAAATTTTGTTTGACTACTTTGACCAATAGCATGAAATGGACTTTAACAAAACCAACAAAATATATTTTCAGCCCAAAATGAGAAATAATAGCCCAAGACATAAGTTCCAACAGGCTCATTTAAAGTTTCTTCTATTTTCCCACGTGGATAAATACAGATTAATAAAAAGAAAAGGGTAAATTACAACCAACTCCCTGAGGTATAGTTAAATTACGAAAAATCCCCTCTTGTTTGGGTAATTACAGCCATACCCTCAACTATAAATCTTTTTACACGTCCACCCTTGCGGATTCAAATTTAGTGGAATCTTCTATATTATATGGAATATTCTCAATTTTGTACCCGTTTTATGCCATTTGAGCTCCACATTTTGAATCAAGATGATCATAAGATGTGTTTTTTGGCTTGTATATATCAGATTTTTGTGCTTCAGAAATTGTATTTTTGCACAAAACGAGTACAAACTAGAGAACATTCCACGAAATCTAGATGATTATGTTGAATTTGACACCATAAGGGTGGAGGTGTAAGAAGATTCATAGTTGAGGGGGATAGATGTAATTATCCAAACATGAGGGCTTTTTTTTGTAATTTGACCATACTTCAGGGGAGTGGTTGTAATTTAGCTAAAAAATAATTTAAATAATCCACAAAAATGAAGGTTTGCTAAATGAAATAATCATCATAATTTTAATCATTAGAGAAAATACATTAGGGTTTCATAAACCAACTAATAACTATCATCTGCAGAGTTCACAAATTCACAGTGAAGGCTGATTTGGTTCCACAAGCCTTTCTTTTTATGCACCTGTTATAAAAGCACGTAAAAACGAAATACGCATAAAAACGGATATCGGGGACGAAACAATAAGAAAAAGCGAAAAAAAAAATAATAAAAATAATAATAATATTATTCTTCGAATAAATAAACTCTTACACGACAATGCGACAATCTTATGATTCGTGTTGGAGTGTTGCCACTGATTCAGTGTTATTCATTTGCAACGAGGCCGAAACAAATTTCTTCCTTGAGCTGAAATTTGAAATGAAACAAAAAATCAAAAAAATCCGGACGAACAATCACTACTTTCATTTGATAACGAAACTTGAATTTTTTTTACCTCGAGAGGGAGACGATCGTAATAGAAAGTTAGTCAACTTTTTCTGTTGACTTTTTCCGCCTACTTGTGGGGCCCGGAGTATCTGCAGCATCGTGCCACACCAGATCCATCTAGTAGAACAAAAACCAAGACGTACACGAGTTACGGTAAATTACACCTATGCCCCCCCTGAAGTTAGGTGTAATTACAGTTAGACCCCTCGGATTCAGAACATACCTCTCCAACAATGACGGTATCGCCCTCCTTCACGCCTAGCTTAATTAGTGATTTATTAACACCGCATGCGTCCAGAACATGTTGAAATCTTCGGTCGGAATCTTCATATCTGTCGAAAAAAGAAATACAAAAGAGAGTAAAAAAAAAATAAGGGTTTATTGCATTTAGCACCCTTGTGTTTACTCTAATTGTCTCAAGACCCTCATGTTATCAATATTAGCAAAAACATCGCTACAATTCAATTTTATTAGCAAACTACCTCCTAATAACGCAAAATTTAGGGGGTTTATTGCTAATATTTACAACACGGGATTTTTTTAGCAATTTAGTATAGCGCAGAGGCGCTAAACGCAACTAATCCTATCTTGACAAGCAAATAACTATATAATTTGGACCCTATTCATAATATTTGAGAATGAATAATCCTATCACAACTAATCCTATCTTGAAAACCAAGCGAGCCCAATAGTTGATCTTCAATTATAATCCACGAAAAAAAAAAGATTATAAGTGATGGTAATAATACCTCCAATTGGTCATTTGGACAAATCGTTCCAACCCGACTCCACTAACGCGCCATGTTTTAGTGCTACTATCGAGCGTGATCTCAAATTCGTTTATAGGAGCCGCCCTTTGCTTCTTCATCATTTCAGCCACGTAATTCAAGTCCAACGGAGTCAGCATAGCTGTAATAAACATAAGCACAAAACAAATAAGACAAAAATTCCGAATTCTTGTAATAAAAAAGTCGGGTTTTCTGTTTTTTTTTTTTTTTGTTTTTACCTTGTTCTTCATTTGGTCGATTTTTCTGTACAAGTTCGTAAGCAGAGTTTATAACTTCTTTGGTGCCGTTTCTTGCGATGGCACTCATGCAGAAAGGCTCGATTCCGCGTGCTTGTAGGGCTTCTTGAAAAGAGGGCCATTTTTCGGCAGCTTCCGGAAGATCCATTTTGTTGTATGCAACTATGTAAGGCTTTTCAGAAAGTTCGGGGCTAAATAACTCCAGCTCGAGACGAATAGCGTCAAACTCGTACTCGGGCTGCTGTGATGACCCGTCAACTATGTGCACCTAATTTTTCCGAAATTTCTAAAATTAGTTTTTTTTTTTCTTTTTCAAATTATATAATTGTTCTTTAATATGAGGCAGAAGGAAAAAGAAAATCAAGATGAGTAGAGATGGTAGTACCAAAACGGAACATCTCTCGCTGTGGCGAAGAAACTCGTGCCCTAATCCGAAACCTCGATGAGCACCTTCTAGAAGACCGGGCAAATCGGCAACAACCATTGTAGCATCAAAGTCGAACGAAACAACACCGAGATTAGGAAGTAAAGTGGTGAAGGGATAATTAGCAATGGTTGGCTGAGCAGAACTAACTACACTCAGAAGTGTGCTTTTCCCTGCATTTGGAGCTCCAACGATCCCGACATCTGCCACCAATTTCAGTTCTAAGTCTAGCCATCTGCTCAATGTACGTACCACCAAGTTGTTAACAAAACCCGAGTAACCCGAGTAAGGAGCAAACACATCAAACAAATAGGAGAAGCATACGCTCCGCAGAAGTAACAATAAACGTATATCAAGAACACGGTTCTTGAAATAAAAAGTTGCTCACTTTTTTTCAAAATAAGAGTCGTTTTGGGTTAGTGCGCGGATATCAACAAAACTAATATATATCTATATGCATGGATTTCAAGAAAACAAATTTATAGAATTTGACCAAAATACCCTTCCCATTAACTAATCTCTCCTAAACTAATCAAGAGTGATGAGTGCAAAATCAAGGAAATGGTAATGAATGTTAATAACACACTACTTGATTCAAAGGGAGTACTCACAATTCAAGCCCTTCTTCTAACCCGAAAAAAAATAGAACCCGAAAGTAGCTTAAAAACATACTATTCACTAACCCAAATAGAGAGCAAACCCATATAAACAAGCATACTATGCACAAGTAATAATAAACATATATATCAAGAACACGATTCTTGACAAAAAAAAAAAGTTGCTCACAATTCAGGCCCTTCTTCTCCGTTTTCCGCAATCTTGGGCACCTTATTGACCCCCGTCTTAAAAGAGGTATTCCCCCGCCCGCCCCTCCCTCCGGGCAGAAGCAGCGCCTTCTGCCCGGGATACAAAAGCTCGAGAAGCACATCTCCATCGCTCTCCCTTACAACGGTACCGGGCGGAACCTTAATCACACAACTCTCCCCCTTCGCCCCGTGCTTCTGCTGCCCCTGCCCGTGGGAACCCCTCCCTGCCCGATAATGCAAGCTCTTCCTAAAGGGCAGTAGCGAATTCATAGTACCGTCCACCTCCATGTACACATTGCCCCCCCTCCCACCATCACCCCCCGACGGCCCCCCATACGGCACGAACTTCTCGCGCCGGAAAGCTACGACCCCGTTCCCACCGTCCCCCGATTTCACAAATATTTTTGCCCTATCGAAACATCTCATGACAGCTGGCACCCCTTTCTCCTTTTCTTTAATTTCCTCACCATCCTCATCTTCTTCGTCATCATCTTCTTCTCCTTCACCACCAAACACCTTTACGCCGCCTTCTTCTCCGTCGGAATATTCCTCCACCTCATCATCGGAACCCGCTTCGTACAGCTCGAATCTTCCGTAATCAAACCCCATTTTACTTCCCTCAGTATGGATTTCATCATCATCATCGTCACCATCACCACTCAATTCATCAACCTCAGGATCGAGACTCAATTTCTCATTGCTAAAACTATTTTTCGAAACGAACCCATTTCGTTTCACGAGATTTGGATCGGATATATCGGGTTTAGAGGTAGTACTAGGACCTGCCGGTTTGACATCAGAGAGCTTGACCACCTCGCAAAGTGACAGTAGAGCTAAATCGTCGGAGCCGAAGTCGTCTCTGGGCGGCAGGCGGGTGAAGGTGGTGGCTTCGCCGCCTTCGACGGTGGGGGAAAGGGACGGCGGCGGCGGCTGGTAATTTCGGGATTTTAATTTCCGGGCAGATGGGGTTCTTGTGGAAATGCGCTGTCTGCTTGAAATGGTTTTCGGAATAGATGCGGAGATTGGTCTGAATTGTACATTCGCTGCAGAAAATACAGACGAAAATGCCATTAAAACAGTAAAAGAAACAAGTTTTTTGGAGGGAGAGGATAATCGGAGTAATACTGCTAGCTAGGTAACCTTAAAAACTCTATCTTTATACTTTTTGATAAATTTCAATTGAGCCCCTTTATTTTTGAGTTCTCTCTTTTCAGGTCCTTAAAATTCATTTCAGGCTTTGGATTCATGAAACATTATTTCCAAGCAAATGTGGATGAATGGATCCCTATTGTTGTACAACTTAGCTCAAATCAACCAACAATTTTCATGCAAAATACAAATGAATATGAGGGAGTTAATTTGATAACACTCTTTTTTATGGGGGCAAAAGTATAAATATTTGAAACCCATCATTTACAATTGTTTCTCAATTTGTGTCAAAATGAAAAAAAAAAGTAACAAACAATACAATACAATCTTGTTCATTCTTCAATCCTCACTATATATAAATATATTATATATTTATATGATCTTAATTTGTAAATAATTGACTGCCGAGAGTTACGGTTGCGGTCCCTTCGCCCATGACAGTCGTTCGTGTTATCTCGCAGTCGAGTATTTGATCGAGCTCCGATACTACGTACTCCATTCTCGGCCTATCCCCACTCGGAAAACTCACACATTTTATCATAATCTTGATAAAATCCCTCATCCCTTCTTCCGTAAAACTCCCCGATAATCGATGGTCCACTAGATTATTCGAACTTATCTCTTCTTGCACCTATTTCGATTTAATTATAAAAAAAAAAACACGGATAAGTTTCTTACAAAGTAGCATAAATGTAAGTTGAAATAATGAATCTTGCCTACGTACCCATTGAAGTGTGGTGTCGTTTGATCGAAAGGCTTCTTGATACGTAGCCTCCTTTCCGGATAAGAGCTCCAAAAGGAATATTCCGAAGCTGTATGTATCGTTCGTTTCGTGCAAAACTCCGTGTTGTCCCAACCTAATATAAGCATTCAATATATATAAATCAAATGACATTTTTTTTAATTGTGCTTATAAAAATCTACCGCCTTTATTCCATAATATCTGTCGTTTCGGGTTTTTACACGTATAGTAAGAAATTCTTGAATTTTATTAAAGACTCGTAAAAAAGACTGAAATAGCCTTTACTGTATAATGAGGCGATAGTATGGGTAAAACGGGAAAAAATGGTTTAGTGTTTTTACTCTGGATCTTTGAAAGCATTGAATGAACTAGTACTACTCGAGCTTGCATCTTCGATTCTCTCGAGTAGTTTTAGTACACCTGCATCCGCAACTTTCGCAATGAAATTCTCGTCGACTAATACATTGGCTGTCCTAAAATTTCCGTGTATTAACGGAGGTCGTAAGCCGTGCAAATGACTTAAACCTGCTATTAATAAGTTCTTGATTATTATATTAATTATAATACTAGGAACTTTCTTTTTCTTGAGATTATATTAAATCTTTGATGATGATTATAATACCTTTAGCTGCTCCAATTGCTATAGACATCCTTTGCTTAAATTCGAGCTTCGTTATCGAACTTTTTCCAGTTTCTATTAAAAAAAATAATTTCAATTTAAATATATAGATAATAAATATAATATAAGCCAAGTTATATAATATATATATATACCATATAAATGACTACACATGCTGCCATTAGGTAAGTATTCAAAAACCAGCATTTGACATCCTCTTTCTTGACAGTACCCTAGCAGCGCAACCAAATTCCGGTGTCGAATTCCGACAAA